TTGTGTTTTATTTAAAACCTCACTTTACAACTTTCAATCCTAAATTCTAATCTTACATTGTCGGGATTTATTCCCAACACATGGTACTTGAGTAAATATGGTACTATGAGGTGTGACCCATGATGAGAGACAAACAGCTAAGATCATGAATTGAAAGACTTTAAGGTGAAGTACATAGTGAGACCCCCACATGCAGACACCTTGACCTGTGGACAATTTGACATAGGGACACCTATTTTCCTATATAAAATTAATAAAAAAAGGCCCAACATGAGGATACTGACTCCACCTAGGACATTTTGTTATAAAATTGCAAATAAAATTCAGGCCAAATTACAAGAAACAGGTATTTCCAACCCTAAAATCAATGTAAGAAAAGTTCTTGGGCATTTCTCTCACCAATATACCATCCATTTAACTAATTTTAAAAAATTGCCTTCAGCATGGAGGGACTTCCTTCTCTCTTTTCCACTTGAATGTTATTTTTACAGATAATGCCAACATTTCTATGTACATTTGAACAGAGGCATCAGTATTCAATCCCCCAAATGTCCATATTGTGTTGAAATATATTTATTGAATCAGTTTAAATTGGAAGACAATCTTTATTTTCATGGAATTATGGTGAGTATTTTGTACATAAAACAACAATTAAAAGTTATATAATGTAAGTCTAAAGGAAAATGATACTCAATTTGGGGAAATTTTGACTTAACAATCTTGATGCACCAATTATGTCCGAATCTTGGGGTCTCACTGTACTGTATTTCTAATTTAATCTTTTAATTCTTCACATGAAGAATTGCGGATTGAAAAAAAGCTGGGCAAGCGTGTTTTTTTATCAGTGATTAAAACAATAATAGGGTGCTGGGGAGAATTACTTTTTCTTAGCTTCATTTTTTTGGGAGGAAAATAATAAAAGCGTGGACTCTCTTTACCACTTTACCACAAAATCCAAGGGACCACAAAAAATTTGTATAATCAAGAGTTCTTGGCAGTGCCACTGCTCAAATCAAAGTGTTGAATTTTTTAGAGGTTTTTAGGAAGACTATCCTTCTATAGGATATGAAATATTTCCTTTGAGATTATTGTTTAGAAATTGAGTTTCTGTTTTGAATGTCTTCTGTTTCCAGCTGTTTTGGTTTCTAAAGATCTAGAGGTTTTATGATCATTGGTTGTTTTACAGATTCCTGTGTGAGTTGGGTGAAACCCAATTGGCACAGAAGCTTCTGTTAAAACTTGTATTTTAGGATTACTTTGAAATTTAAGCTTTTAAGTATCTTTCAAATGTAAGCTCTCAAAGAGAGTGCCAACATTAAATTTGTTCACCAATTGAATGTTGGAGGAAATCTTCCACCTGCAGCCTTAATCAAACAATCATTGAAATTGTCACAAATTTAGTGTCTTTCTGAGAAAAAAGATAATTTGTCAAGCTCTGCTTATGTCTTTGAAATTTAAGCTCTCAAAGAGAGTGCCAACATTAAATTTGTTCAGAACCCACTGTAACTTTAAAATAATTTCCGTTTGCCCATAAATCATGTTATCCCAAATGAAATAGGATCATATTGAAGTATAGGGAATCTGTAATTATTTTTCATTAAGGAACTCGGTCTGTGGACACATTAATTTAATTGAGACAAAGTGCAGTTACCTCCTCAAAAACTTTGTCAGCACATGATAAAACATTTAATAAGATTCATTCTATAGACTGAAGCCATATGCCATGGGTGTAAAAGTCATTGAAACTTATATATTTCACCAGCTGTTGCATGGGAGTGGGTACACACCTAATGTACCAAGCAGTGTATACATGTCACAGCTCATGAGATTACCAAAAATGAATAAATAAATAAATGATTATACACACCGTTTAGAACCATTTTTGTGGCAATTGCAGAAGGGTATCCAACTGTTTTGGCCATGGCTGAGTAGCCCTTCTCTCCAACATCACCATAGCAAACCAGGTTTATGCCTTTCTTCTCATATCTACCATCAGGCCATCTCACACCAATGTCATGTCTCAAAATCACTATGTCTCTCTCTTGTGGCCCTTCAAGGGAGGAATAAAAAAACTATTTGTCTTGCATTTTGTTTAGATATTATGACTCTCTGATCATGGTGATTCATGGATTGTAAACAACACAACATGAAAAACTTGGTACTTTCCTGTTATCTCAGTGCCTACTTTCCTGTTATCTCAGTACCTTACCTTGGATCAATTTAACCTGACCTAACCTAACTTCACCAAACCGCCTCCCAAAATCAGTTTCTGCTTTCTTTGGGTTTCTGCTGAAACTGATATTGGGAGGTGGTTAGGTAAAGTTAGGTTAGGTCAGGTTATGTTAATCAAAAGATATTTGTAACTAGCATAACCTGACCTAACCTAACTTTACCTAACCACCTCCCAAAATCAGTTTCAGCAGAATGCGGAAAAATAAAATTCACAGTTTCTGGTAGGTTGTCGTGATTATGAACTTGTCTTAAAGACTTGTCTGGATGGTAGTGCGGTCTAGGAATGAGGTACTGAGATAACAGGAAAGTACCAAAATAATGGTAGGATGCATCTTCAATTTAAAAATTATAGAGCAAAAAAAAAAGTCAATTGAAGAATGAGCTTCTCACCCAGTCTCAGTCTCTTGGACAAATAATTTGAAAGCGTGTCCAAAGGAGTGTCAAATTTTACAACAGGGTCATCAGAAAGAAGTCCAAGTTGTTCCAGGGCATCCACAGCTGTGGCTGAACCCACCACATTTTCCAAGTCCCTCTTGACATTCTCAAAAAAGGTGTCTTCACTTTTCCCCATTTGGGCACAGACAAACTTGCGCTGTGGAGAGATGTTTTAGAAACA